CATCCAACATCCAACTAAAAGATACGTGTGTTTTGCCATCAGACAAAGAGGTCGTTTCCTATGCATTGTGAGCTCAAACACCTCCTCCACATCCAACATCCAACTAAAAGATACGTGTGTTTTGCCATCAGACAAAGAGGTCGTTTCCTATGCATTGTGAGCTCAAACACCTCCTCCACATCCAACGTCTAACAGAGCACTTAGCTCGCCAACGGAGAGAGTAAGAAAATCAAGAACTCATAAGACCGTCGAACTCTTCCTTTTCCTTACGCTCAAGAATATCTCCTAAAATTTACATGTTCCGAAAAGATAAAAACATTCTCACATCAGTATCAGTGAATAATGCACCACTTTCCGTTTCTTTCTTCGTTCAGGATAAAGATGTGGTCAAAGTCCATTTTTAATATTTTGGTAATAGAAAACCCACACATGATAGAAAGCCAAACAAAGATATGGTCGAAGTCCATTTCTAATATTTTGGTAATAGAAAACCCACACATGATAGAAAGCCAAACAAAGATGTGGTCGAAGTCCATTTCTAATATTTTGGTAATAGAAAACCCACACATGATAGAAAGCCAAATAAAGATGTGGTCGAAGTCCATTTCTAATATTTTGGTAATAGAAAATCCACACATGATAGAAAGCCAAACAAAGATGTAGTCGAAGTCCATTTCTAATATTTTGGTAATAGAAAACCCACACATGATAGAAAGCCAAACAAAGATGTTGTCGAAGTCCATTTCTAATATTTTGGTAATAGAAAACTCACACATGATAGAAAGCCAAACAAAGATGTGGTCGAAGTCCATTTCTAATATTTTGGTAATAGAAAACCGTCACATGATAGAAAGCCAAACGCAAAACTTTCTACCTAAAGATCTCCTATTATCACCAAATCCCTAGTAATCTTGGAAGATCCTGCCTCCTGCAGGCAGGCACGTCAGGTAACACTCAACTGCCCTATAAATACCCCCGAGTTCTAAAGGAGAAGGGAGGACCTCTTCATACAAAAACTCCCTCCACATCATCTAACTTGATCGTCGGAGGGGTCGGGCCGAGCATCCGACCCGACCTGTGTGCAGGTACAAGGGCGGGGTTGCATCTCCCCGGCGCTGCGGAAAAGCTTCACTCCCCACGCAACGTCCCAACCGGACCACCGTAATCGGCCACCTCAGCAGTCTCGAGGAACGCCGTGCAAGATCCCCGCACATTAGGACCCAAACCAAGCCGCATCGGCCCCGAGGCCACGGCATAAAGTTGTTTACACTAACAGATTGGCGCTAGAAGGAGGGCCTTCGAATGTCGAGCGATCAGCAGATCCACTCTGGCGAACCCGCAGCTATGGGGTTGCATCCGGTCAGCACTCCGGAAGAACATCCCCTGCGTGATGAACCCCGAGACGAACGCACCGCCACAACATCGGAGCGCTACTGGTGGTTGTTCAACGACCCGGGTTTATCGCCACCCGACACCCCCGTCGGCCCGTCACCCGTATCGCCTGAAGCCTTCCACGACCTCGCTCATCAAGTCCGAGCACTGGCGGGCGTGGTGAAAACTATCGTCCCGCTCGTCTACCAACCGACGCCCCCGCATATAACCCAGCCTCTGCAACAGCGGGAGCCCCACACCCGGACTCATGCATCACTTCCCGAGCTCCCCGCTTCGCCTCGGAACCGAACAGCCCAGCCCGGGAACCGAGAGGCGGAAGACACGTCGAGTCGCCCAAAGCTTGGGGCGCTGTCCGCGGACTCGACGAACGCCCTGCGAGCCCAGTTGCGCCTCTTTAGTCAACGCCTCGACGAAGTACAGTAGGAGGTTCGCAGGTCAAAAGGAGAGCTCGGAGCGGACGGACACCAAGGGTCCCCGTTCGCGCCCGAAATACAAGATCAAGTGATTCAACCACACTTCCGGCTCCCTTCGCTGGACGCCTATGACGGCGCCACTGACCCCGCGGACCACGTAGTCGCCTTTCGCGCCCAAATGGCGCTATATGGGACTTCTGACGCCTTGATGTGCAGGGCGTTCCCAACGACTTTGAGGGGGCCGGCCCGCGCATGGTACAACGGCCTGAAGATCAAGACCATCACCTCCTTTGACCAGCTCGCTCGAAACTTCGAGCTCAACTTCCTGGCCTACGCTCGACCAAAGCCGTCCGTGGCGTTGCTCCTCGGACTCAACCAAAGGGAGGACGAGCCCCTCTCCCATTTTGTGAACCGTTTTACGACGCAAATCCGAGGGCTCTCGGATGCTCACCCCTCTCTGTTGATGCAGGCATTCATGATAGGCCTGCGGCCTTCCAGGTTCTTTTGGTCTCTTGTGGAGCGACCCCCCACGGCGGTACCCGAGATGCTCCAGCGAGCGAGCCAGTTCATCGCCGCTGAGACATGAATGGCCGGGAGGCGCGAAGAGCACAAGAGGGTCAAGCCAGAGCCGCCCCGGCAGCAGCAATCCGCTGCATCACGGCGTAGGTTGGACAGATCCGACCCGCCGGCACCAAGGCCCCCTCTCCCCGCTTTGAGCTCGTCCCAAACAGAAATATTTCTCCACATAAGGGAGAAGGGGCTGCTCAAAGAATAGCGTTGTATGCGGTGAGGAGGTCAACCACTAAGAAGGTGGTCATCACGGTCTTCGACCTCGGCGGGGCTCCCAGGGTCAAGGGCAAAGTGATTGCCCCCAACGGTGAGATCGACCTCGTGGACTCCTCATCGGGTAGGGATCTTTGACATGGATGGCTATAGATACTGTTTTCTCAATCAAGCTAGCTGACTCCTATGGATGATTTTCTATTCGGTGTGGTGGTCACCCTTGCATACAATTATCACTGTTTTTCTATTTGGTGTGGCAGACACCAGCCTTTATGTGTGTGTTGGCTTCCTTTTTTACTTTAAGTAATAATATCACAGTACATTAAAATTTTACTTGTTAACCATCTTTGTAGTATCCCTTCCATCTAATTGCTACCTTTTGTAACATGGTGATTCTGTTGAACATAACCTTCGTTGTTGGGTTCTCACTCTAGAGTCTAGACACCTATATCCAAATCCTTGCAGAGTCCTGTTACGCCTGGTACTTCATAAGTTCAATATTAGAGCCCACGACTCTTAAACGATGGATTGCATCAACAATTGATTCAAAGAATTGATGTGAAGGATTTTGATGACAGAAGTTGGATGGCAAATTTGATACAGTTGTGGGGTTGCTGTGGGCTAACTTTATGCAATTTGTGGTATCTAATGCATGTAGAAGATCTGAAAGGCTACACTACAATAACCACAGAAAGTTGTCAGTTCAACTAGCCTAAGAGGTCATACCAGATGAACCATTCCATGAGCATATTGAAGAAGAGTGATTTGTTTATCAACTTCTCTTCGAAGAGCCACTGAAAGTGCAACAACAAATACAAAAGTTGGTTTTGCATATTTGGTGATCCTTATGTTGACATTCAGGGCAAATGGAAGATCAAACTAATAATGGTAGCCGTTGATGTTGAGAAAAAAAGAAAGATGAGCATGAGATTTGACAATTATGCACCAATTTTTATGCAGGGTTGTATGAAAGTGTTTCATGAAGCTTTGAACTTTGCTTAAAGCATAAACATATGATGTTTTGAGTACCTGACTGTTGCAGGCAGCAAGCTGATGCAATTCACAATAAGTAAGGTTTAGATGGACCTAAGATCTAGTTTGATCATATCATATCTAGAGATCTAGAGCATTTCCACCTATTTTTAGGATTTTTTTTTGGTGGATTTTTATGGATTTTCTTTACTGCTAAAGAGGTCCAATATGTTTTGTTTTGAACTTGTTTGAATTCAG